ATTATAATTTTATATATTTGCACTTTTTCTTCCGTTTTGTTGCACCTGCCGCAAAAATAAAGCAGAACGAAATTCTCACTATCATTCTCTTTTTTCTATCAGGTGTGTGTGTGTGTGTGTGTGTGTGTGTGTGTGTGTGTGTGTGTGTGTGTGTGTGTGTGTGTGTGTGTGTGTGTGTGTGTGTGTGTTCTTCTGTGTGTGTGTGTGTGTGTGTGTGTGTGTGTGTGTGTGTTGTGTGTGTGTGTGTGTGTGTGTGTGTGTATGTGTGTGTGTGTGTGTGTGTGTGGGAACAATTTGGTCTCTATGTTTTAATAAAGCAACTTTCTGTACAAAAACAAAAAGACACGTACAATTTGTTGCTATAGGTTTTTCGACTTACAATAATCTGAAAATCTACGTAAAATCAAAAACGAAAAACTCAAAATCGCATTTTTCTTTTTCACATTAACAAGGATATAAATTTGTTTTCGCTCAAACTTACAAAAGTGTAAATTACAATGTAACCACAGGCTCGAACAAACTTTGTACCACACATTTTCGGTTGTACTTCATGGTAGCGCGTCCATATGTAATCATAGCTAGTCGGCAAAGACTGGTTATATGAACTAAACCAAAACCTATTTTTTGTTTACACCACAGGAAGACGACGAGATGTTTCTTCGAAAATAATTTCGGTCTATTCAGACAACTCACACACGATATCGAGTATATTCTTTTTAGTCGAGAAACTTTTACAAAAGACTTAGTTCCCAGATGCTTATATCGATTGAGTGTACTAGGGTTTGAAGTAGTACACGACATCATTGTAACGGAGATTTCGGGGCTGTAAATCCGGAGAATGGAATCGAATTCTCGAACGACGAGTTTTTCATAGTTAATTTTTAATAAAGATTCGTGTCAAACGAAGACACTTCGAACGTAGGACATCGGGCGACAATTTAAAGGTGAAATTTCTCCACAAAACCGACGGGCGTAGTAATTTTTGACGTATCTGGAGGCTCGTACACGGAACTGAGTGGCATTCACCGGGGAGTACGAAGTTATAAATGTTCTCGGCCCATTAATTAAGAATGTCTAGGTAGACGGGAAAACGAACAAATTAGATAAATATGTCGTCGGTACAAGACAAAGGTAGAAATGGTCAAATAAGGGTAGGGAGACGAGCGGACAAACGAACGTGAGAGTCTTCGTCGCTGGTAATAATACCCGGTAGTACTAACGTCAAGAGACCTCTATTTCTGGACACATCTACTGGTCTCCCTCAACTTCGAGTAATGATTCTTAAAACAGTATGTAACTTCGACGTTGGTAAAGATTGGAGGTAGTCGTTATACGTGCACCAGGACAATTTCAGTACGACTGTCACGGTTTATCACTCATAGTCTGACACCTTGAACTGTGTATTCTCTTACACTCGAGAATTACAACAGTAGAAGAAGTGCAAGGATGATAAAAGTAAGCTCAGTCATCTGCTAGTCCTTACAGCGAGTGGGACGAGTAGTACCTTCGAGAAAGTCACGTTTCGTGTCTATTATTGTCGATAATGCCAGGAGACGAATAAGTACAGTGTGTTAACAAAATATATAGACCACATACAATCCGAAATAAGTTACGCTGCCGACAATCCCGTCCTGTATATGTTACAGGGATGTATCCTTGAACGAGTTATCAATTGCGCGACTGGTCTGTAACCATAGTCGCACGATAACGGATTAGGTTCTCTGAGAGACAGTATCTACCTTGAAACCAGTTACTATAATCTGTTAATATTAGTGCAGGAATGTTCTGTTTCGGGATAGATCTCATACAGATTCAATCAATTTATTCTATATACAAAACTAACGTCACAAGCAGAGGATGTCACAACAAAGTATACTGAGGCACTGCGAAAATATTCTATGGGGACAAGTAAGGTGACAGTGCGTTTGAGTTGTCACTCCGTACAATACACGACTGGTACTATGTTAGACACAAACTTTACGAATATCGAAAACAAGTTCCAGAAACAGGGCATAAAGTTCGAACACGTTGGTTTGTAAGCAGATAGTTGTATGGTTTGGTCAGTCAATTCTTTATAAGTACTGTGTCCCAGCTCCTGGTTGACGGATAGAAGCAGACATGGCTGCTGTTTTTGTGTTATTAACCTTCATTGGTGACGTACAAAGTGATCCGTGTAATGTAGACTCACTATCAAACCCCTTACACCACATTACAAGTACTTTGTTTACCTCGCTTACCCTTCGTCTATAAACCGAGAAACAAACTAATTCGTTTTGGCCGGCAGCATTCATTCCTCGTTTTGTTCACTCCCGAATTACGAGTCACGATTTGTCATGTCACCACCCTTGATCGAA